GTTGGTTACTCTGGCTGTCTGAGATCACCTCCCAAGTAAGGAAACTCCCTGCACCTCCATCCTTACCTCTGGTTCTTTTTTGCCGGGGGGAGGGGGGACGGACAGGGGGACCAAACTATGACAAGTAGGAAGCGCAGTGTGATGCCTGGGACTGTAACATAGGGGCATTAGCCCCTACTTTTGCCAGCCCTTCTGCTGACCACTGGGGACTCCTACCAGCGGAGGCCGGTGGCTCCCTGTCCTGCCCTCACCGGGTGGTGTCAGACTTGTCTGTTTTCTTGTGCAGGCGGCTAGACAGGGTCTCATTGTGGTTACACGTTTACTGAGCATTAATGAGCCTAAATGTTGTTTTCAGATGTTGCTCTGCCGATTTTATGTCCTTGACTGTGAAATTCCTATTTAAGTCTTCTGTCTGGTTTTCTCTTCTTTGTTTGTTTTTGTTGTTTTGGAGGCAGTCTTTATTTGTGTTGTTAGTCCTTGCCGATTACACGGATTGCAGGTCTGCCTAGCTTATCGATTGTCTTTTTACTTCCGTATGGTGTATTTTGATGAACAGAAGTTCTTAACTGTTCTTAACACAGAATTTATCATTTTACCCTTTTGTGGTTTCCATTTCCAGTATTTTGTTTTAGAAATGATTGTCTGCCCAGATGTCATGGAGATCTCTCTTCTATTTTATAGTTTTGCCTATTACATGTAATTTTTTAATTGACCTTGGATAGATTTTTCTCCCCTGTGGCTGCTTTTAACATTTTTCTTTAGCTTTCTTTTTGATTGTTTTACTTTTACATATCTAGGTAGTTTTTTTTGTTTTGTTTTGTTTGTTTGTTTGTTTTTTGGTAATATTTTGCTTGGACGTGAGCATCTTGAATCTGTGAATTGGTACCTTTCATTACATTAGGAAAAAGTTAACAGAAGAGAGCTGGATTCCCTTATCTACTTCTGCAGTCAGTCTTTGCAGTAATATGCATCACATGGCCTCGAAAATGAAAGTGAGAAAGTCCTGTCCGTGTTGTTATGAAAACAGTTCAGAGCCTTTGAAAGGGTCATGGGGTCCTCCTGGAGTCCTCCGAGGTACTCTAAGAACTACCTGTGTAGGATTTTGGTATTAAGGTTATACTAGCCTCCTAACAGAAGCTGGGGAGTGTTTTTTTCATGGTCTTAGAAATAATTTGTGTAAAATTGGATTTATTTCTTGAATGTGCAATTGAACTTCTGGGCCTGGAATTTTCTTTATAGGAAGGTTTTTAAAGTTTTGATTCGGTTTCTTTGATGTTAAACAACTATTCAGGTTTGTTTTCAAATATACTGGTGTGAGCTCATTGACATCATCTTATCTTTTAAATACGGGAGGCATTTAGAGTTATGTTTCCCTTTTCCTTTAGATATTTATTTGTGCTTTCCCCCCTTATGTTGATTAATTCTACCAGAATTACATCAAATATCAGTTGTACTTGCCTTTTTGAAAAGGCAGCTCCTAAGGGTGCCTGGGTGGTGCAGTTGGTTAAGCGTCTGACTCTTGCTTTCAGCTCAGATCGATCTCGGGTTGTGAGATCAAGCCACACGTTGGGCTCTGTGGTCAACACTGAGTCTGCTTGTGACTCCCTCCCTCTGCTCTACCCCTCGTGTGCGTGTACACTCTCTCTAAAATAAATCTTTAAAAAAAAAAATCTTTGAAAAGCAATTTTTAGCTCTGTTGATCCTTTCTATTTTTTTAATTAGTTAATTACTGTGGTTTTTCTTTATTACTTATTTCCTTCAATTTAGATTTATTTTTGTTGTGGTAGTGCGTTTTCATAGCCTGTAACTCATGAACATTTGTAAGCTCATGTGTAGGTTCTATTTTTGTTCCATTAATCCCAGTTTTATTATATATGAAATCAGTTTTTTGTTTTTTTTTCTAAACTGTGGGTGACCCATTATTGGGTGATAAAATTCATCTAGTAGGTAAGGCCAGCATTTTCAAAATGCAGTAGAATAGCAGAATAGAAAAATACTGTGTTTGTTAACATGTTTTGTGGCTAGTATTGTATATTAAGGTTAAACATTGTTTTGTGAAGCTTTTATTTTTAATTAACATTTTTTTTAAAAAGATGTAGTTATTTACTTTAGAGAGAGAGAGAGAGAGCGAGCGCGTGCATGCGGGTGGGGAGGGGGAGAGGGAGAGAGCGAATCCCGAAGCAGACTCCCCGCTGAGCACAGAGCCAGCCATGGGCTCCATCTCAGGACCCTGAGATCATGACCTCTGCTGAAGTCAGGAGTCAGCTGCCCAACCAAGTGAGCCACCCAGGGGCCCCTGGGAAACTGTTATTTAAAATACAAACGCGCACACCTGTGTCTGTATTGGGTCACAGTATAAAATGTATTTCTTCGTGTAGGTTTTAGTTTAAAAAAAAAAAAGTGTGAAAGCCACTGTGTTCAAAGGTAGTTTGTCTAATTTCAGTCAATATTTCAAAGAGGACGGCTCAAAGTAAACACCGAGCAGCGGGCTAAAATTCCCGCATCCGTGACTCTGTTCTAGAGGGGCTAGGACTCACCTCCCGCCCTGGGGCCGAGGACTCCAGTTTAACAAGCTGCCTCTGCAATATTTGTCCTTTGGGTGTGTGGACCATCGATCCAGGGGATAAAGGGACCTGGGGAGCCTGTTGCGGGGCTCAGACTCGCCGTGGAGTGGCAGCTCTTTGCGTGCATTTGTCCCGAGGCTTCCTGTCTTTTAGCTCCCACAGAGACGCAGCGTGCCAAGAAAGCTACTGGGGTGGGGCGGGGGGCAGGCTGGTTGTTAGAATGACAGAAAAAGGGAAATGGCTCTCGGGGCGCCTGGGTGGCTCAGTGGGTTAAGCCTCTGCCTTCGGCTCAGGTCATGGTCTCAGGGACCTGGGATCGAGCCCCGCATCGGGCTCTCTGCTCAGCGAGGAGCCTGCTTCCTCCTCTCTCTGCCTGCCTCTCTGCCTACCTGTGATCTCTCTCTGTCAAATAAATAAATAAAATCTTTAAAAAAAAAAAAAAGGAAATGCGCTCTCATGCCCATGTTTCTGTCCTGGAATCAATGAGCGTATGTGAATGGTTGATGCAGGGTTCCCCAAAGATGATAATGTTTAAACTTAAAAATGTATGCGCATTCGTGCATTAGTCTGTGACAAACAAATTTCTTACATCCCAACTGATGGTTGCAAGTGGTACAAGTTGAAATCTTTCATGACTGTTTACATTTTGCCTCCAAAGCTGGTGCGATTGCGGCATTCAAGGCTCGGCAGTATCCTGCCACCTAGGCAGCGCGGGCAGTGACGGGGGAGAGCGCCATTTAGCCAAATAAGCACGGTTGCTAACCTTGACGATGGTCTGTGAACTTTTCAGTTATTTACCTTTTTATTAATAGCTTTTCTGAAAGACCAGTGAGTAGAATGGGACCATTCTGTAGGCTGGGACTTTGCACGTGGCTTGCCGAAGCAGCTTACTGCAGTGACGTGGCAAGTCTGTGCCATGTGGGACTGTCCGTGGCTCTGCCCTCCCCACGCAGTATCCGGGCATGCAATGGAGAGGCTTGTTTGGGAAGGGTCTGAGGCTGTGGTCTACAGGGAAAGTCCGTATTTGGAGAGGAGGACTAAGACGCTTCTTTACATCGGTCAGGGTTGCTTATTGGCTGTTCCATTCAGGTATTGCCGGATAACAACCCAACCCAAGATCCAGTGACCTTACAACAATAACTGCCAGGGATTTGCCCAGGGTTCTTGCTGGGGATGGTTTGTGTGTGTTTTCTTCATTTTCTTTTGGGGCCTCCCTGAGGTTACTTTCAGCTGGGAGCCTGGCCTCCTGATGGCACGGCAGCCGGGTTCCCAGAGGACAAAAACGGCAGCTACAGGTCTCTTAAGGCCTCAGCTCAAAAGCCCGAGAATGTCATTTCTGCCACATTCTCCCGGTTAGAGCAAGTCTCAAGGCTAGCCCAGATTCACGGGGGAAGAGAAATAGAGTCTACCTTATTAGAAAAGGGGCATGCACATTCAAAGATGTGACGAATTTTTGGCATCAGTCTTTGGAAACTCATCCACCACATTGCCCTACCTTTCCCTCCCTCCCTGTCTCCCTGCGTTTTTCTTCCTTCCTTCCTTCCATCTGAATGTGTCGATTTGTCATCTCTATTACGAAACATCACTGTATTTTATTTAAAGATTAAAGAGTAATCTAGCCCAACAGTCCTTGGCACCTTACTGATACTTTCCTAGTGATATTTTTCCATTTTGCATTTTGCCATAGCTTTGTCTTAACTCCTTCAGTAGAAAAAAGTTCCTGGAAGATGGAGTCTTAGCTCTCCCCCCGTCTCTTGCAGTGTGCGTGGTCGGTGCTTGCTCCTCACAGGGCTGACTGAATCAGTAAACGCAGACAGATTTTAGAATAACCAAGAGTCAGTTTGTCTAGTGGAAGCATCAGTTCATGTTAGGCAAGTGTTTTGGTTTTTTTTTTTTTTTTAAAGATTTTTATTTGTTTAGAGAGTGGGTGGAAAATCTCCAGCCGGCTTCCTGCTGAACGTGGAGCCCGTGGGGCTCGATCCCACTACCCTGAGATCATGACCTGAGCCGAAACCAAGAGTCAGAAGCTCAACTGGCTGAGCCACCCAGGCGCCCCATATGTTAGCCACGTGTTTAAAAACAAAACAATTGTCTTTATTCTACTTTTGATTTTCTTCTTTGGTCAGCGCCTGTCTTCCTAGGTCCCACACATCTATGACTTTTGATTTCATCTAATATATATTTATAGGATATAGTTACACTTATCAATATTTGTATTATGTACAGTATTAAATATGAAACATGGCATATAGCACACATTTAATACACGAATATACATTCGTATATATTTACAAGAAGGGTCAAAAATCCCTTTTCATTATTTCCTCAAACCGCTTCAGGGAAAGAAATAAGTATGCTGAAAGTCAAACAGTCCTTTCAGGGGTCGCTTGCTCCCCTAACTGCTTCATTTTTCTTGTGTGTCTCCCCCGGGACCAGGAGTGGGAGGAGGAGGCTGTCTTTGTCATTATGTGTGCGTCGGTCAAGTACAATATCCGGGGTCCTGCCCTCATCCCAAGAATGAAGACCAAGCACCGAATCTACTACATCACCCTCTTCTCCGTCGTCCTGCTGGGCCTCATTGCCACCGGCGTGTTTCAGTTCTGGCCCCATTCCATCGAGTCCTCCAGTGACTGGAACGTGGAGAAGCGCAGTGTCCGCGACGTGCCCGTGGTCAGGCTGCCAGCCGGTGGCCCCCTCCCCGAGCGCGGCGATCTCAGCTGCAGGATGCACACGTGTTTTGATGTCTACCGCTGTGGCTTCAACCCCAAGAACAAAATCAAGGTGTATATCTACTCTCTGAAGAAGTATGTGGATGACTCTGGTGTCCCAGTCAGCAACACCATCTCCCGGGAGTACAACGAACTGCTCACGGCCATCTCTGACAGCGACTACTATACCGATGACATCAGTCGGGCCTGCCTGTTTGTCCCGTCCATCGATGTGCTTAACCAGAACACGCTCCGCATTAAGGAGACGGCTCAGGCCCTGGCCCAGCTCTCTAGGTACGTAGCACGTTCGCACGGGAGCCAGGGCCTTCGGGGAGCTCAGGGGAAGGACGGGCAGAGGGCATGGTTCTCCTCGGGAGCTGGCCTCCTGCTGCTGTCTCTTTCCTCATGGGAGGGCCTGGGTGTGCGTGACCGGCTTGGAGCACAAAACCAGGGCCCGAAGCCCCTCATTTCTGTACCGCTGGAAGCCCCTCACTTCTGTAACGCTGAAAAGCGCTTTGTCATCCTCACTTTTGCTGGGGGCTCCCACCGTCTTAGAGTTTAAAATCTAAGGATGGCTCATCTTCCCATAGCTTTCCTGTTCTGTTGAAATCTCCCCCCACCCCTTATGACTTACATAAGACTACATGCTCACTGTAAAAAGTCTGAAAATACAGGTAGGCAAGAAGCAGCATGTAAGATTCGTTCCATGTTGCTGCCTTAATGATGTTGCTTCCCAGCTGTTTTTGTTTTATAAAATATACGCACGTATATATACGTTTTTGTATGACATAGATGCATATGCACGTGTATGTATATGTTTTGTTAGAAGTGGAATTACACATTCTCTACTCTTGGGCTGCCTTTTTTCCTTAATACATTACGAATATATTTCCAGATAATTTCGTATTAGTTTACTATGTGATTTTAAAGGCTGTACAGCCTTCCATTTTACACATGTTCTATGATGTACTCAGGCAGCCTTCTGTATTCCTTTTTTGTTTCTTTAACCAAGTGGTGAACATTCAGATCGTTTTCAGGTTGTCATTGTCCCAGGCATGCCTGTAGTGGCCGAGCTCCAAGGACACATCCACCTGTTTTTTCTTCCCAGGAGCCAGGCTAGTTCCTGGTGTACTCTTGGGATTTCTAGGGATTCTCTTTGCAGCCCTGAGAAGTGGCCCTCTTTGGGGTTGGGGATACTTGCAGCTTGTCTTCCAGTAACGGACTCTTGTTTCTGTTTCTTCACGGTTGATGTGTGAATTCCCAGGCATGTTTCATTTCTTACCAGGTGGGATCGAGGTACAAACCACTTGCTGTTCAACATGCTGCCTGGAGGTCCCCCAGATTACAACACGGCTCTGGATGTCCCTAGAGACAGGTGAGTGTATTTGAGGTTGTCGCTGTGATGGGGTTCTGAGGATTAAGGAAGTGCAAGACCCTTTCTTTGATGGAAGTCCTGTGTCTAAGCCTAGTGGGATAGACTGTGCAGTCAGAATTGTTTGTTAAAATGTCCTAGGCATTTCCCTCCTTGAGATGTGGATGCGGTGAGACCGGACCTGCTTTACTCTGTTGGGGAGCACCAGCTAGAACTTATGTTGTAGCGCAGTGTTTTAAAAAATCATCTTTTTCTCTCAGTCTGGGTTTTCTCTCCTTACTGCAGCACCCCCCCCCCAGGGCCCACTTTGTGCCTTGTGTTGGCTCTGTCCAAATTTGGGAGCGTTTGCGAAAAGTAGAGCCATAGCTTGCTGTAGGAAGGGGACGCGGAGCTGTGACAGTGACACCCACAGCCTGTCATGTTGGGGGAATGAGGGCACTCTGGTTCATGTACTCGACATTGCCTCGGTCATTAGGGTCCTTCCCTCCATCCTCCCTTCCCTTCCCTCCTGGCCCCCACGCCCTTCTTTCCTTCCCCTCTTCCTAACAAAACCTTCCAAACAGCACGTGGGGTGTGGGGTGGTTGGGATGGCAGGATTATGATTCCAAGTCTGCTCACTCTGTTTACCAGCCCTTTTCAACATCGACTGAACTGCTTGGGCTGGAGGCTTTCCAGGAGGCGCAGGATTGGGGTGCGGTTCCTCTCCTAATACTGGGTTCAAGGCTTTGAGGAGAGCAGAAGAGCGAGGCCCAAGATGGGGGTCCTGGGCGATACTCAGGGTACACCAGTGTTGTAAGCTGACATCAGAACTCACTCATAAGTCATTTTATTACAGTTGATGTTTAACTCTTCAAATCAGTGTTACTGGTTAGAGAGTAGCTTGAGACCCGTGGTGTTCTCAGCCCACAAAGGCCGACACCATCATTTATGAAAATCTACACTTGGTACTACTTTTCCCTGCAAGATTAAATCCAAGCCTCCTTTGCCTTAAGTAATTATGTAGGGTCAGTGTTGTGTTTCTGTCTGGAAATACAATTATCACTAGAAGAGACCTGCACTCCAGGACCGCCCCCCCCCCCCCCCCCCCCCCGCCTCCCACCCCCCTATCTTCGGTGTAGAAAGCATCTTGGCCGATAGAGGGCAGTCGGGCCACACAAATTCTATAGAAACCAGCCAAACACAAGGTGAGCCCTGGTTTGGCCGGCAGCCCCAGCGTTCCTGAGTGGGCTACTGTTTTATGGATTTGGTTTCTCTGGGGAAGTGAAATACTTCAGGGAACAGAGAAGGGAAGAAAAAGCTGTTAGGAATGTCGTGTCTTCACCTGCTGTTCTGGGTTTATTTTGAGAAGGGCTTATTTCTGTTTGGGACATTTCACTTTTTGCTGACATTTTGGTATATGTATTTGCATGGGAGAAGGATTTTATTTTTATCAAGTGCACATGTTAAATGGGGTTTCATTTCTCTGTGGGAAAGTGTCAAGTACTCAGGCAGAAGTTTGAGTTCTGGCTAGTGGTTAGGTGTTAAGGATCAGGAAGGTTAAATCTTTTTCCCTGTGCATGTATTTTTGTAAGTGATTATAGGCAATACTATGGCAAGTCATGAATCACTGTGCAATCCTCCTTTGTCTGTGCATATGGGAAATTTCGTTTTGAAACCTAGGTGGTCTTCTGGTTGGAGGGAAGAGTCGATTTTTTTTTTTGTGCGTTTTTTCTATCATTTGTCCTTGTTCCTGGATTCAAAGGAGGCAAGAACTATGCGGACAGAATGGTTTTAGCAAGAGCTGCCTATTAGATTATTTGGAAATTAGAAAGCAGGCAGGCCAGATTAGACTGCTTCAAGGGTCTGTTGAAGTCTAAGGTCATAGGTGTGATTGCTTGAGGATGATTTTACTCGGGGAGATGAAAGGGTCAGGACAGAAGGAAACATCTGCTCAGCATATATATCTTTTGTGCTGCTTAAATCTATTTTTACTTCCCTCCCAATTTTTAAAAATCCTACACATGATACGTGTATACTTTCTTTGTGCAAGATTGCAACAATGTATGAGCATATAAAGAGTAAAATATAAACATATGCTTCAAATCCTCCTCTATTTTCATTCCCTTACTGAAAGGTCATCACTGTCCTCAAATACTATGTATTTTTCTAGCCTTTTTTCCATGTATAAATATGTGTGTGCATATGTCTGTAGTATACACACACATACACACGCGTGCGCATACACCCATTTTAAGTGGGAGCAAATTATACCTCTTCAATGCCTTATTTTACCAATCTTTGTTTTCTCATATATGTTCTGCAATATTATTATGCCGATTTTTGTTATTGTTTCTTTATACATATCTCTCACAGATTTCTACTTTGTGTGAGTTTTATTTAACTTGTTATGGAGAATTTCAAACCTGTGTAAAAGAAGAGATTAGTAAGGTGAACCCATGTCCCTCTGTCCGGCTTTGGTAATTATCAACTCAGGGCTAGTCTCCACTCATTTGTACTCCTACCCATCCCCACCAGTTTATCTAGAAGCAAATCCCAGTTATATCATTACATCTGTAAATATTTCCATTTGAATCTCTCTGTGATAAGGGATTTTTAAAAAATATAATTATACTGCTATTTTCACACCTAGGAATAAATAGGAATCTGATATCACCAAATATCTAGCCATTGTTTAGATTTACCTGTCTCATACATATTTTTTTATATTTGTTTGATTCAGTAAACAAATAAGGATGACTAATAGAATTGGTTATCTCTTTTTTTTTTTTTTTTTTTTTTGGCGAAATTTGAAGCTTTGCATTTGAGGGGTTTGCCGGCCTGACTGCATGCATGGTTCAAAAGAAAGCAAAGGATGAGCTTGCAGACGAGCTGTGTTTAGGCGCTGTGGGCACTCAGATGGGAGGAGGACTGGGAGAACATCTGAGGACAGCCCGGAGCAGGGATGGTGGAGTGCGTGAGGCTGTGCAGAGGGCTCCGTGACGGAGGACATGTCCTAGTGTCAAGAAGGCCAGCAACATGCGGAGGACACTTCGAGTGACATAACACTTGACCTGGCATAAGTCTGATGATCAGATTAATGCTTTTTTTTGCTGCAAGTTTTCTGTTCAGTCTCTTGCAGCTTTGGAGCTGATCTCTGATTTGGGGATTCATAATAGGAAAACAGAATGTGCTTTTCAGAAAGGCACTTTTCATTCAACGCAAAACACGTGCTCTGTAGAGCAAGGGACGCTCACACTGTTGTCTCCATTAGCATGTTACAGAGTCGTTGGCAGAAGAAGATACAAGGACTTGAAGTCCAAGTCTTACCAGTAGCGGGGCTGGTGTGAGGTCTTTTTAGCTAATTACAGTCCCAGCTCTTGCCGAGGTCATAAGTAGAGATCTCGAGTGTTGATCTGTGACGTAAGACCTGCTTCCATTTGCATGCTTTCCTCCTCCCGGTGCATAACCCCCACCCTGCTCTCCAGGAACAGAATAAAGTTGGGGCCCTAGGGACAATTACAGTACAAGGTGGTGTGATACGCACCTGCTTCCTTTCTTGCCCCATGTGCATTCCCCTCTGCTCTGCGGCTATGGGTGTAATTGCCTCGTCACCCCCCACCCTGGCTCACTGGGGCTGCTTGGTGCCTGTATACTGGATCCATGATTGTTTCTTTGCACAGAGGTCACGGGTTTCCCTGCAGTCTGCTTGCTGTCATGGAATCGGCCCAAGTTCATGGTGGATGGATTCATTGCTGAATGCTAATCAGGAAAAATCAGACCGTGTGCTGGTACTAAGGAGAGTTGCTAAGTTTTACAGAGGAGACTGGCAGCTGGAGAGGTCTTTAGCCTGCACCTTACCTCACTAACCAGTTCTTGGTTTCAGAAAGCTTAAACAAACAGATTGGGATTTCCAGGGGTGTTTGGAAAATCTTTGAACTTAAACTGGTTGTGTTCAAATGGAATGGAGGTTGTCAACAGGGCAAGGAGAGGATTGGTAGCAATCAATATTGCAAAAAATGTGGTTTCTCAGTTCAGACGTTTTGGCTCAGACTGTACGATTCGTGGAACTGGCAAAACTTTGCCCCAGTAAGTGATTTTGATGGATTTGGGACCCTGGGGACAGAATAACAGTAAAAGTTGGTGTGATCACCTGCTTCCTTTCTCTGATGAAGTGTCACTGTATTACTTGCTGGCTCCAATTAAAACAGTATGTTCACAGCTTTCCAATTAAAGAGAATAAAGCTAGTGCATGCAAAGTGCAGGGGAGGCACTAACGGTCCGATCCTGGGTTCCTGCTTCCTGCGTGGGGGCTGAGGAGCCGCAGTGGAGGCGAGAGCTGGGGGACAGCCCTTGGACAACACTGGAGAGACCTGCCCAGGGCGGGGGGTCGGAGGGAGGCATGCACAGCACCGGATGAGGTGTTTTGCTGTCATCCGTGCTTTCTGTGACCATTGTCGCCTGAGATTCAGGCCAGAGGGTCAGTGAGCGACTGCCCCAGCTGGGCTTCCCGTGCCGACCTATCATCTGTTCCCACTGGTGTGAGCGTTGCAGAGCGGGGTAGGACTTTGGGAAGAACTGAATGGGGTCTGAATAAGGTAGCAGAGGGGCTGTTCACAGGGTGGCCTCTGGGCTGTGATGTGTTTTTAAAAAAAATGGAAAAGAAGGGAAGACCACTTAGGCCCCCAGAAGAAGGCTGCTAACTCAGGGACCGCACGCAGCTGATGTCCAGGAGGTGTTGGATGTGAAACACAGAGCATGATGTCTTCAGAGACAGGAGAAGGGGAAGCAGGCCTCTGTTGGTATTATTACTGACCCGGGTACTCCTCTCCCTTCCCACGGAGCTTCTCAAAATGAAGACCTTTCTTTCTCATTGTTTGACAAAACCCTTTGCTTTTCAGGGCTCTCTTGGCTGGTGGTGGCTTTTCTACGTGGACTTACCGGCAAGGCTACGATGTCAGCATTCCCGTGTACAGTCCGCTGTCGGCGGAGGTGGACCTTCCCGAGAAAGGACCAGGGTAAGGGACATCCCGTCAGCCAGGTGCACTATGAGGTGACGACGAGGGCTGCGCTGTTGGTGTCCAGAGCCAAAGCCTTGGTTACAGGCCTGGAGCTTGGAGTCTGCCATCTTCCCCTCCCCACCTCACCGCCTCCCCCCACAACCCCATCCCATCCCAGTTTCTCCTTCAGTTTTCTCTGGCTCAGTGAGTGGACGGTGCTGGCTGCCCAGCTTTCCAGATCTGGAATCCCTGAGGTGTCCTTAACTCCTTCCTCTCCCTCACTTCCTGTACCAGAGGGAAGTCCTTTTGATTGTCCCTCCTAAATATTTCTCAGCTCTGCCTTCTTCTCCATCTCCTCTGTCCCCGCCCGATACCAGCTTACTGTCATCTCTCCCTTGGATCCGGAAACAGCCCCCTGTTTGGTTTCCTTGCCTCTAGTCTTGCTGCCCCCACAACCGGGTTATTACTGATTACCCATTTCCTTTGGATAAAGCCCAGACCCCTTAAAATGTCTTTCAAGACCCTCTGGCACGTGACCATTCTTTCCATTTCTAGCTTTTTCCCCACCCCATTTTTGGGCTGTAAAATCTTTCCGTGGTCTGGAAGTCTTCTTCCTCATTTTCATCAGACTGATGACCTACTTGTCCTTTAGGTTTGAACTTGAGTACTTCTCACTCCAGGGGGACTTTGCTAACCCCCGGAGTGGTTCTTCTGCATTATACCCCCATAGCAGCTTCCGCTTCTCCTGCTGTACCAGTCACTAGGCCACGGTGTAATAACTTGCTCACAGCCTCTTTGCTTGGGATTTTGGATTTTGCAGTAAGGCTAGTGCCAGGTCTGGTTTTTCGTTTTTTGTGTTTTTTTTAAGATTTTATTTATTAAATTGAGACAGAGTGAGCTTGAGTATGGACAGAGGGAGAGGAAGAAGCAGGATTCCTGCTGAGCAGAGAACCAGTGCAAGGCTCGATCTCAGGACCCTGGGATCACGGCCTGAGCCAAAGGCAGACACTTAACCGACTGAGCCACCCAGGTGCCCCCAGGTCTGTTTTTTAACTGCCATGTTGGCTATGCCTGTCACATGATTGGTTCATATTGTTGACATGTGAGTGAATAAGTGAAAAGGGCTGGCCGCTTGGGTGTGCAAGGCATCTTTTCTAGCCTTTTTTGATGTAGTCTGTTTGAAATTGTGCTAATTCATGGTGAGAACCTTAATAAGCTTTAAACAGATGTGATGATGATGATGTTGGTACTCTTGTGTGCCGTGTGCTCACGTATGAAGGTGACTGATTTGTATATTGCCACATTAGAAAGATCATACAAGGTGAGATTTAAAAATCCACACACAGCATTTGGTCCCAGAAGTGAGTCTTAAGGAAATAGTTTGCAAAGCATCCCAAACTTCCCCTTAGAAGCCTTTATGGGGGGGCGCCTGGGTGGCTCAGTCATTAAGTGCCTGCCTTTGGCTCAGGTCATGATCCCAGAGTCCTGGGATTGAGCCCTGTATCCAGCTCCCTGCTCAGTGGAACCCTGCTTCTGCCTCTCTCACTCCCCCTGCTTGTATTCCCTCTCTCACTGTATCTCTCCCTGTCAAATAAATAAATAAAATCTTTAAAAATCTTTAAAAAAAAAAAAAAGCCTTTATGGGTTCTTGGAGAAATAAGAGAACTTTTCCAAAGTGAAGCATTTCTCTCCTGTGTATGTGTCTCCTACTGTGTAGCCTGGTAACCAAATTCTGAAACCTATTTTAGAGGTAGCAGATTTTGTTATTTACATAAGGTGAGATTGAAACATTTTTTTGCTGTTAGGCAAGTACAAAGAGAGACTGGATGGTTCATAAACTTTTTGCCTAGATCTACCTTCTGGATTTTTCTGTTAGTGGACTTCCAGAATTGATTTGTTTTGTTATTTTTAAAATTGAGATATATTCATTCACCATAAAATTTACTCTTTTAAAGAATATACTTCAGTGGGTATATTTATTTTTTAAAGATTTATTTATTTATTTTAGGGAGAGGGGAGAGAGAGAGTTAGCCATTTCTTTGTCTTCTTTGGGGAAGTGTTTGTTTATGTCTTCTGCCCATTTCTGGACTGAATTTTTGTTTTTTGGGTGTTGAGTTTGATAAGTTCTTTCTAGATTTTGGACACTAACCCTGTATTGGATATATTGTTTGCAAATATCTTATCCCATTCCGTAGGTTGCCTTTTAGTTTCTTGTTGATTGTTTCCTTTATTGTGCAGAAGCTCTTTATCTTGATGAAGGCCCAGTAGTTCATTTTGCTTTACTTTCCCTTGCCTCCAAGGACGTGTCCAGTAAGAAGTTGCTATGGCCAAGGTTGAAGAGGTTGCTCCCTGTGTTTTCCTCTAGAATTTTGGTGGATTCCTGTCTCACATTTAGGTCTTCAATCCATTTTGAATTTATTTTTGTTTGTGGTGTAAGAAAGCAGTTCCGTTTCATTCTTCTACATGTTGCTGTCCAGTTTTCCCAGCACCATTTGTTGAAGAGACTATCTTTTGCATTGGATACTCTTCTGCTTTGTCAAGGATGAGTTGGCTGTAAAGTTGTGGGTCCATTTCTGGGTTTTCTATTCTGTTCCATTGATAGTGTGTCTGTTTTTTTTTTTTTGCCTGTACCATACTGTCTTGATTACTACTGCTTTGTAATAGAGCTTGAAATCTGGAATTGTGATGTCTTCAGTTTTGTTTTTCTTTTTCAGGTTGCTTTGGTTACTTATCATCTACTTTTTTTTTTTTTTAATATTGGGTTTTGGTTTGGTTGAGTTGTAAGAATTCTTTATATATTTTACTTACTAGATGCTTACCAGTTGTATGATTTGCAAATAGTTTCTCCCATCCTGTAGGTTGTCTTTTCACTATCTTGATGGTGTCCTTTGATGCACAAAAGTTTCTCCTTTTGATGAAGTCCGATTTATCTATTTTTTCTTTCTATTTGTCTATTTATTCTATTTTTCCTTGTACTTTAGGTGTCATAAATAAGAAATCCTTGATCAATCCAAGATCACAAAATTTAAATCTGTGGTTTCTTCTCAGAATGCTTTAATTTTAGCTCTTAGATTTTGGTTTTTGCTCTATTTTGAGTTAATTTTTTAAAAAAGATTTACTTATTTCTTTTAGAAAAAGTGAGAGAGAGCAGGAGTCAGGGGAGAAGCAGAGGGAGAAGAGAATCTTTAGGCTCCCATGGAGCCCCGTGTGGGGCCTGAGCTCAGGACCCAGGAGATCATGACCTGAGCCGAAACCAATAGTCAGATACTTAACCGACTGAGCCACCCAGGTACCCGTTTTGAGTTAATTTTTACATGTAGTGTGAGGTAGGAGTCTAACTTCCTTCTTTTACCTGTGGATATCTAGTTGTCTTAGCAACACTTGGTGAAAAGACTGTTCTTTTCCCATTGGATGATCTTAACATTCATGTTGAAAATCAACTGGCTATAGGTATATAGGCTTATTTCTGGACTCCCAATTTTGTTCCATTGGTCTGTGTGTCTGTCCTTATGCCAGTACCACACTATCTTGATTACTGTAGCTTTGTAGTAAGTTTTTAAATTGGTAATGTGAGTCCTCTAATTTTGTTCTTTTTTTAAGATTTTGGTTTTTGTTTTGGTCTATTCAAGGTCCCTTGAATTTTGACTACTTTTTAAGTAATGCAACTTGAGTAAATACAGGTAAAAAAACAATTTAAACTCTCTGTGCTTATATGACTTCAAAATTAAAACAGATTTAAATTAAATGCAAAGAAATGTACAAAACTAATAATATTCACATTAACAATATGATAGCTGAGGCTTTTTCTTTGAAACTGGATTGTGTCTTTTAAGGTGAATATAGAATTAATTGTGGTTTTGGGGATTTGGCATGCCTATGCTGTTTGTCTGTGGAGTGATGATGTATTTCTCTCTACCACTTTTAATGTTTGAGTGACTAGGGTGCTTCCCTTTAGCATACATCTTCATCTGATACAGATTTTTTCCCTGCCATTTCACTATAAAAATGTAATGATAAAATTTATAAAATTATAATTTATAAGTTTATAAAAATTATACAATTATAATTTATAAAATTATAATATAAATTATAAAAATCTTAAAGCCAGATAGCAGTATTTAAAAAATTTGACAGTACAGTGAATATTTGTACCATCACTTAGGGACTACAGTTAGCATTTTACTATGCTTTCATTGTACATGATTTACATTCTAAGTCTTCCTGTCTTCCCATTAGCCCGCTAAATACAAACTTGGATGTTGAAAAACTCTTAGCAGTATTATCATTAAATATGAACAAAAATATGCCTGTACTGATTTTCTTTTGATCATCATCAAGGTGAAAATACAAAATAATTCTTACAGAAGAGACTGGAGAAAAAGATATAGTTCAATGCTGTGGTTTTTTTTTTAATTAAAAATTTTTAATTTAAATTCAGTTAATTAACATATAGCATATTATTAGGTTCAGAGGTAGAGATCAGTGATTCATCAGTTGCATATAACACCCAGTGCTCATTACACCACATGCCCTCCTTAATGCCTATCACCCAGTTTCCCCATCCCCCTAACCCTTTCCCTTCCAGCAACAGTTTGTTTCCTATAGTTGAGTCTCTTATGGTTTGTCTTCCTCTCTGATTTCATCTTAATTTTATTTTTCTCTCCCTGCCCCTATGCTCCTCTGTTTTGTTTCTTAAATTCCACATATGGGTGAGATCATGTAATTTTCTTTCTCTGACTGATTTACTTTACTCAGTGTAATACCCTCTAGTTCCATCCATGTCATTGCAAATGGCAAGATTTCAATTTTTAATGGCTGCGTAGTATTTCATTGTATACCACATCTTCTTTATCCATTCATCTGTTGATGGACATCTGGGCTCTTTCCATAGTTTGGCTGTTGTGGACATTGTTGCTATAAACATTGGGGTACACGGGCCCCTTCAAATCAGTATTTTTGTATCCTTTGGATAAAATACCTGGTAGTGTAATTGCTGGGTTGTACGGTAGTTCTCTTGT